CGAAACTCCGCCCCCCAGCCGCCTATCTGGTTGAATCAAAGGATAGTCGAATTTGTAAGCTAGTGTGTGTATTGCACAACACGCGCACATTTCACGACTTATTCTTAGAATCTTTGTATTTTCCTTTCTTCTTACGTTTGAATTAGTTATTCCATCAAGCAGTTTGATTGTTGTGTTTACCACAACCAACTAGTCGTGAGATGCCGCGCGCATTGTCCCATAACACATGATTCACATGGTTCCACCACACAAACGGCGGGAAAAGGCAGAGTAGACCCTCCTCTTTGCTGGCTTGTTGAAGTTTCTCGCCGCACTTTTCTTTACCATTCATTAATCATTGAATTATCGCGCACTTTTAGCACATAAAATTGTTTTGCAATCCTTGCATATGGAACGCAACAGTTAAAAAATCAGAAATCAATGTTAATTACGGAAGGCGAAGACACACAAAGTAAAGAAGATTATATTTGAGCAACTGAAAGCTAGGAAAAAAAGATTGAAAACAAGCATGCAGTCGAACAGATTTCACAATTAATAGTGCCTTTGCGGTCACGACAACATTTGGACGTAACAAATTGCGACTTGCGCGTATAAAATGGCATTAGAGCGCAAATTCTTACTATTTACGCGCAAATGTTGTTGGCAATGCAAAACATTATATTGCTTCAAACCTACTAAAATAAAGCTAGTAAAGCGAGCGAGATTTGTAAACAACAGAAAAAACTAGCGAATTTTTTCAATAAATAGAAAAAAATTCACCTGTCGAACACTATCCACAATAGCCCATACCACACTAGCATTAGGATTATCTCTTTTGAAAACACGTGCTGATTCTTCGAAAATTGGTTTCAATCGCCGCGAAAATGGACACCAATCAGCACAAAAAGCCACGAATACAACCTGAATAAAGACTTTCAGTTACGACCGATCTTTTCTCGATTTTCGGGAAAATAGCGAACCTGAGAACTGTTCAGCACTTGATCATGATTTTGCATTGATAATTCCACAGTACTTGTGGGAAGTTGAAGCTCTTGATCGTAAGAATCCTGAGCTGACGCATATGCGCACAGGAATATTATTAAACTGAGAAAGACGTTCGCTTCCCGCATGTTTGACCCGCTAAAATGATTCACATAGACTTTTGAGAATTTTGACAAATTAAATTACGGCGAGAAAAGCGCAACGAAAATAATCGAGATGGAG